TTATTGATTTACAAATGTCCTACCAACCTGGCATTCCCGGAATAAATCGCACTTGATCATGTTGTATGATGTTTTTGATGCATTGCTGTGTTTGGTTTACTAATATTTTGTTGAGGATTTTAGCACCTAGGTTCATTAGGGATATTGGCATAAATTTTCTATTTTTGTAGTGTTTTTATCTGAACTTGGAATTAAGATAATGCAGGCATCATAAAATGCACTTGGAAGCCTTCTCTCATCTTGAATCTTTTGAAATATTTTGAGGAGAGGTGTTAATTCTCAGAATGTTTGGTAAAATTCACCTCTGAATTTAAAAATTAAAAAAAAATTTATTATTGCTTTAATTTCAGTAGAGATAATGTCTATTCAGATTCTCTGATTCTTCCTTAGTTTTGGAAGATTGTACATTTCTAGACATTTATCCATTTCTTCAAGTTTATTGGCAGAGTTATTCATAATATTTCCTTACAATCCTTTGTATTTCTTTGATGTTTGTTGTTATTTCTTCTCTTTCATTTCTGATTTTATTTATTTGGGTCCTCTCTCTTTTTTTCTTGGTAATCCTGGTTAAATGTTTGTTAACTTTGTCTTTTCAAAGAACCAGCTCTTGCATTCATTGATCAGACTCTAATTCATTTATTTCTGCCCTGATCTTTATTATTTCCTTCCTCCTACTCACTTTGGGCTTTGTTTGTTGTTCTTTTTCAAGTTCCTTTAAGTGTAAGGTTAAATTGTTTATTTGGGCTTTTTCTTGCTTTTTGAGATAGCCCCGTAATGTTATGAATTTTCCTTTTAGGATTACTATCCCTGTGTCCCACAGATTTTGGATTGTTGTGTCTTCATTTTCATTTGTTTCAAGATATCTTTTGATTTCTTCCTTGACCTCGTTGTTGGCCTGTTCCTTGTTTAATAACATGTTATTTAGCTTCCAAGTGTTTATGTGTTTTTCAGTGTTCTTGTTGTGATTGATTTCTAGTTTCATCTCATTGTGGTCAGAGAAGATGCTTGATATTTCAATCTCTTTAAATTTATTGATACTTGTTTTGTGTCCTAACATGTGGTCTAGCCTTGAAAATGTCCCAGGTGCACTTGAATAGTATGTATATTTTGGTGCTTCGGTGTGAAATGTTCTGCAGGTATCAATTATACCCATTTGGTCTACTCTGTCATTTAAGGCTGCTGTCTCCTTGTTGATTTTGTCTAGATGTATCCATTGAACCCAGTCCATGGGGTGTTAAAATCCCTATGACTGTATTTCTGTCAATCTCTTCCTTTATGTCCATCAAGACTTGCTTTATGTATTTATGTGTTCTTATGTTGGCTGCATAAATGTTTACTAGGGTTATACCTCTTGATGAATTTTTCCCTTTATGTAGTGTCCTTCTTTGTCTCTTACTATATTCTTGGTTTTAAAGTCTATTTTGTCAGATATGAGTATTGCTACCCCAGCTTTTTTTTTTGTTTGTTTTCCATTTGCATGAAATATCTTTTTCCATCCCTTTACTTTTAGTCTGTGTGTATCTTTGTATCTGAGATATGTCTCTTGAAGGCAGCATATATATGGGTTGTATTTTCTTATCCATTCAGCCACCCTAGGTCTTTTGGGTGGTACATTTAAGCCATTTACATTTAAGGTGATTTTTTTTTATAGAGACATATTTAGTGCCATTTTATTGTTAGACTATTTTCTTCTGATTTTTTCCCTTTTCCTTCTCCTTCCTTCCTTCCTTTCTCCTCCTCCTCCCTCTTCCTTTTCCTTTCTTTTTCTCCTCCTCCTCCTTCTTTTCTTCTTCCTCTTCCTCCTCCTCCTCTTCTTCTTCTTTTCTTCTCCTTCTCCCAAGCCCTTTAACATTTGCTGCAGTACTAGTTTGGTGTTAACAAATTCCTTTACCATTTTCTTGTCTGGGGAGCTCCTTATTTCTCCTTTGATTTTAAATAATAGCCTTGCTGCGTAAAGTAGCCTTAGCTGTAGGTCCTTGCTTTTCATACCTGAATATTTCATGCCATTCCCTTCTGACCTGAAATGTTTCTGTTGTGAAATCAGATGACAGTCTTATCGGTGCTCCCTTGTAGGTAACTACCTGTTTTTCTCTCGCAATTTTTAGAATTTTCTCCTTGTCTTTAAGCCTTGTCAATTTAATTATGGTGTGTCTTGGTGTTGACCTCTTTGGGTCCAACTAGTTTGGGACTCTCTGAGCTTCTTGGACTGTATGTCTCTTTCCTTCACCAGATCAGTGAAGTTTTTAGTCATGATTTCTTCAAATAGATTCTCAATCCCTGTTCATTCTTCTTCTCCCAGTATTCCCATGATGCAGATGTTGTTATGCTTCATGTCATCCAGAATGTTTCTTAAAATTAAAAAATGTCTCATTTTTTAAAGTTCTTTTTTCTGCTCTGAGTGTTTTTTCCACCTTGTCTTCCAAACCAGACTTGATCCTCTGCTTCATTTAACCTATTGTTTTTCCTTCCAGTGTATTATTTATTACATATATTGCATTCTTTATTTATGACTGGTCCTTTTTTTATGGTGTGTCTTTTTTCATGCTGTTGAGTATCATTATAATGATTACTCTAAACTCTCTGATAAACTGCTTGCCTCCATTCACTGAGTTCTTCTGGAGAACACTCTTGTTCTTTGATTTAGAGTCTGACTGTCTTCCCATTTGGGCTGCTTCTTTGTATTTGTTTCTATGTATTAGGTAGATCTGCAAGACTCTGGTGCATGGCTAAGTCAAACCCTGCCTGTGACTGTTTCTGGGCAACCTGTTTGGAGCAATTAGTGATCCACAGCATGTGCCTCCCTCTGCTGGGCCTAGGTGTATGAAGAAAAAACCAGACTGCACACAAAGGCTGGCTTTTACCAGCACTCGGCCTGTGGGGTGGGTCAGCTGAAGGCTTAGAGCTCCCAGCAATCCGCTTTCTATAAAGAGTGAAAGTCTTTCAGCTGTACTCCTCAGCAGCAGGGCTTAAGCACCACAGGGTGGGGCAGAGTAATTCCTCCAGGCAGGGCTATTGCTTCTCTTCAGGCTGATGCTACTTGGAGGGGATTGCTCTGCCTGAGAAAGATAGCTCCTACTGTATGGGGAATGACTCCACACGGGGATCCTAGTGGCTGTTACTTCAGTACTCTCTCCTGGCACCAGTCCCTGACTCTCCTCAAGCATTTCTAATCCACTCTGTCCTTCCTCTGACGAAGGCCAGGGTAAGTGGCTGCAAACAATTCTGCATGTTGGCCCTTTCAGAGGCTGAGTCTCCAGCCATCTCTCCCTGGCAGACAGAAACCCTGCTGGTTTTCAGTCATATGTTATTTGGGTTCCTTTCCCGGTTCTGGTGCCATAGGCTGGAGAGCCAATCTTGGGGTTTAGACCCGAGTTCTCAGGGGAACCCCCTGGCCACTGAAATATCCCTCCAGGACTTCAGCTGCTGCCCGTGGGACCCCAGCCAGCCCTCTGCATCTCCTCTGTACTCCCTAACAGTCACGTTTTGGAGATGTGGCTTCTTTCACCTGTCCCTGGTTATAAGGCTTCTCCCCAGTTAGTGGTCAGTTGGTTATTCAGGATGATTTTTCTATAATTTAGTTGTAATTACAGATTGGTCCTAGGAGGACAGTGTAGCTTCCACTCAATCCTCTGTAGTCTTGGGTCTCTGTTCAATATTCTTACCTGATGTTCTCATCATAAGCTATCACTAGTAGAAGGGCTTTGGAAGCTGTAGTGAAGGGAAATTACTTTTCTGTGAAAACCTACTTTTATGTATTAAAATATCATATAGCATATTGACCTTAGGTCTTTTGACCTCTGACAAAGAATCTTCTCCTCCTCCCTGGAAAGTCAATGAAGAGAAAACTGTCTACAGGAGTCTCCTTCAGAAGACAACTGAGTGCCTGAAGAACTCTAACTGGGAGAAAAGTTCATCTTCAGACAATGTAAGTGCCCTGGACTCAAGAAATAGGTTAGGGAAAAGCCAGAGGTACTCTAGACCTGCATATGTGCTGCTGGATGAACAGTGACCACACACGCTGGGGAGGGAGACTCACAAAGTCTCTGAACCACCTGTCAATGCTGGGGAGCAGGAGGGTTTGGAAGGGATACAAACGAAGATCCCAAGCCAACTGGACAAGATACGAATGCTTTTAAAAAGCATACACCAATGCAAGTTTGGGCCTTGATAGAATTCTGGTGTCATTTGTTGCTTCAGTAACTGCGGTACATGATGCTTGGAACATTCTATGGCAAAGACTGAGTTCACATGATATCTACCACTCTCTCCTTATAGTCTGCAGGCATCTCTTGACCTGGTATTAACATTTGAGGTTAACTACTTTGGTCTGTTTCTATCACAGGTCTTCATTACCTGTTGTAGTATGCATCTCTACTTCTCTCAACGCACCCTGTTCTTCTCACCCTCCAGTCACTCCCACAGCATCATTCTCCTCTCTCCCTGAAGAAAATTTAACTCAGTTGCATCTTTACAGCAGAAAATACAAAGGAGCCTGTGTTTTTGGAAAAGTCCAGAGGCCAGCTATGTACAAACCCTGTAAAACAAAGGGATACAAAGCAAAAAATATATTAACAATCATGGCCCTAGACAAAGCAATCTGAGAGTGATTTGCTGTCAGAATGAAGCATATAATGTTTTCTTATATAATGAAGCATACATTTGGCAGAGAAAGAATGACAGTGGTCCTCATCCCTAGATGTATATACGAATCATCTGGGGAGCTTAAATATATTTATGCCTGAACCCCTTACCAGAGATTTTCATTTAATTGGGACAAAGGTAGTAGATTGGGCATCAATATTTTTATGGAATCTGCATAGGTTATATGAATGTGTAGCCAGGGGTGAAAACATTAGTCTAGGACCTGAACTAATCCAGCCCTGGATGGCTAAGTGTGCAGTTCACAGAAAGTGCTGAAAATCAAATCACTAGGTTTGCACTTCTCTAGTTAACATTAGCATACCTTGGAACAAAGAGAAAAAGTGGCAAATGTAAAGATGACATCACTTGTGTTCTACCCCTGTGACTTCTCTCTTTATTCAAATGTGCCTTTGTGGCAAGTTACATTCTTTAGGTCCTGAGATTAACAAGGCAGACAGATCTTGATAATATAATCAGTAATCAATGAAGAATTCACACATTGCTGCCTAATACTTTAATTCAACAGTTTTATGGAAAAACTCATGTTTCTGTATTACATCATAAAATTTTCAGGCATGTCAGTGACAAATTACATTTGAAGAAAAGTTTTAAAATCCATTCTTGTATGCCACTCCTGTATTAAATATTGAAAAGCAGCTCTATATGTCAGCACTAAAGGATACAAAAAGCACCATTTAAAGTACTCCTACATATCTTAATTCTCTTCAAATTATAGTATTATTCCCCGTTTCTGACAGAGCTTCACTCATTCAAAATGCTTCAGTGTAATAACACCAACATCCTCAAATTTACCAAACTTCAAACAAGTCTCACATACAGGGCACAGTAAGGAGATTAAGCTCAATAACATAAGTGAGCTTGGCTGTTCTAAAACCTAGACCTGGGCATGGTTAGGTGTTCTGTAGACAGAAATAGAAAAGTGAGATAATCAATATATAAAATAGTATTTATGGTAGTTATCCCTTCAGATTTTGTAGTCAGATTTAACCTGACTACAAACCCAGTGTTTAGTATTTCACACCAATCTTACTGCAAAAGCACTGTACTACGCACAATTAATTCATTTCCAATTGATGTTGAAACTAATAAAAATTTTAATTTTTAATAAAACTTACTCACTTCAAAGCATGATTGAGAAAAGCAAATCAAGACAAAGTCCAAATATGAATCCTACAGATTCCATGACTAAGAATTGGATTTAATAAGTAGCAGGCTCGAGTTTTTTCCTTTTCTTGAAATATTTCTTTTATAATTTAAAAAGATAACTTTTTTTACTCCAAAAGTTGGGGTTCATTGCAGAAATCACAGCCCGTTAAGCTCCAATTATGACTGATGCTTAAGAATAGACAAATGCCTAGATCCAGAGTTTTAAAAGACCTTGACCCCTACCCTCCCAGGTCCTCTATCCCACTGATAATTGGAACCTAGCTTTAAGGATGAGTCAGAATAGTGTAGAAACAAACTATGTATCTGCTAGTGAGCCCATGCCCCAAATCACTAGAACAGGAGGATTTAGAAATCTTTGAGAGCAGAATACATTTCAGACACACACATAGACTATTGCATATCATTTTTACCTGAGGTCAAAATTTTAAAAGCCCTGTTTCCCCAGTTAAAAGCAGGGAATTCTATGATTAGTATGCCCTTCATTTATACCCCATAGTATAAGCTCAGTCTGGAAGTAACACTTCTTTGCAAATTTAACCTCATTTTAACAGCATACATGGAATATTGACACTTTTCAAAGGTTTTATCTCATATCCATTAGGTCTACAAGAAACTAGAAATAACTGGAGGGAAGTGACTGAGCCAGAGTTTGTAGGATCCTCTCAGAAACGTCTCTTGGATTCTTCTTTTACAGGATTGCTTTACCACATAAGCACTGTTTAAAAAACACCAACACTATTAAGCCAGGTACGCCCTTCACAGGTATAGTGATTAAATACCATTTGACTCTATGCTTAATGCAAGCTAATAACCACGACTGAAAGTTCTCCATACCAGCAAGATGATTAACATTTATTTTAGGTTAGTGCTTGACTCAAAACCCTAGTAAAGTCTGCCTGACGAACAAAGTTAAAGCAGAATAGAAAAAAAGGGTAGAAAATAGGAACAAGAGTCAAGGAAATATGTTTTATACAGTAAATTCTGTACAGTGGGATTCAAGGACATCAGTAAGTTATACCTATTTATTTTAAAAAGGATAGTTCTGAATTACTCATGTCTTTATTTTCCTAGTATTACTCCTCAGCTAAGTCATTCTTTTCCTCACAACCTCCAAACCATGATGCAGTTCTTTAAAGGCTAACCATCCCAAGAGCTATTTTCTTCCTCTTCTGACAGTGAAATTCCTATAGCTACCCCTGCTGAGAAAAAAGCCAAAATTTTTTTCTTGCCTTTATGCATTTTCAAAATCAGCCAACCTCTCTGCTGAAGTAAACTAACCCTTTAACCAATATAAAAGAATGAGTGAGCTGTAGTTGGAGCTACCTTCTTCTCTCCCTATCTACCTTCTAAAAGTTTCTTGCAGACAGACTGAGTGTGAGAGGGATTCTCAGGGTCATGGGATGTACTGGCAGTATAAAGAAGGAACAATACTGAAGGAGGCATCATCCAGGTCTTCCTAACCATTGCCTTCCATACTAGCTAGTAGGCTCCCACTTCACATCTGGTTGAGATTACCTCAAAATTTGGGAAGCTGACCCTCTCTGCACCTTTCCAAATTAAAAAGATGTAAAGATCAGTAGCACCAAAACCTACTGTCATTGGAGCCAGACCCAATTCAACAAAGCCTCTGGCCTGAGAGAAACTGAAGGGATCTCTTTTCCTTCCCCACTCTACTGATATGCCCATGTGGAATAAAAATTTTAATACATGAACACAAGACAATTACATTTCAATACTGTTGACAAGAAATGTGTGTACAACAAAATCCTTTATGTAACATCCAAGATTTTTAATCCTCCTAAATGGCCCACTTGTTTAATGGGTATTAGAAAAAAACAAAATTCTAGTTTAACTGAAGATGATGTAGATCCTAAGAGTTGGTTAAAATAGGATTTGGCCTGGATTCTTTAAATGGCACACCATTCAAAAAGTGGTTGGGACTATAAAAGTTCTCCACACAATCCTATTGCTGCAGAAAGCCTTTGGTGACTAAAGCAATATTTACTGTTTAATCATCAAAGAACTTAGCAATTTGCATTCCCAGCAAAACAACCCTATACCCTACTATCTCAAAAAGGAGATCTAAGAGGTCTATATGCAGGAAGACAACTCTGTCAGCTTTGTATAGGAAAGCAGAAGGAAACTTAACTGACCTGTGGATGCCCTTTCAGTGTGACTGAGCTCATCTTAGCAGTCAAGGATTCTCTCAAGCATCAAGTTTGGCCTCCTTTGGTGTTAAATCTTTGAGTTGCATTTATCTATAATGGAAGAGCCACAGATACCTGGAAAACGTTTTATCTTTGAACCCCAAGAGTGGACTGAATAGCTACTTTTCATTCCACAAATGTAAATCATTGACCCCACTTCATCATCAAACATATTCTTAAAAAAGGGGCAGAACAAAATGATCCCATTAGCATTTAGTGCAGGGAGGTAATACTCTTCATGGCTGAAAACACCAACGGTACTTTCTTGCTTCTTGGCCTAATGAATCTTTGAGGGAACCTTTTAGGTGCAACAAGTGAGCCTCAATGAATCTATATCTAAAGCAGTATTCAGTGTAATGATGTGCACAGGGTCAGCTGCATTAATATAAGGTTTTAGAGGGCTAGACTAGGGAAGAAAATCTTGATAATCATTTATCAAGAGTCTGAATTCTATGCATTCTCGTAAGACCAATAAAAAGCCATTTTTAATTGAAGAAAAATGTAGGCACACAAAATCTTCCAAGGATGAAACACATGCAATTTTTCCCTGGTTCACTCCCACCTTCAAAGCTGTCTGCTCTGAGAAAGAGAACATGGAACAGGGCCAGTTCAGGAGGGAAAACCCATGGGAATGTGCCAATACATCCTAAACTGTGGCATCAGACTAAAACAAGAAAATAGACCTGCATTGCTGAGCCAAGTGGTAACAGGTGGCCTGGGCCTGTGCTGGGATAAAAGAGGCTTTCTGACAGCCCTTGTTTCCAAGGTGGATTAGATATCACACAGCCTTTGAAATAGGCCAATTACCCAATGATTTTTTGTGTTGGGGAGGGATAGGTATAGGACCTGAGCTTATGAAAGCAAGAATGTGAAATGAGAGGAAAAGGTATCTGGTATTATAAAAAACACTGATTGTGCCACATAGTCTGGGAATACAGAAAAATCATGCAAGAAAAGCTGCCCCTGCAAGGAGGCAGCTGTTAAGGAGGGCAGGACTTTGGCACAAGCCCATCCCCTGGAAAGCCAAGTAGCAGTGATAGACTTTCCACCCATTACGGATCCTGAATGTGCTGTTCACTTTAGGAAAAAGGCTTCCTGTAATGAAGGTTCTTCCTGCGGCTCTCCCAAACAGTTCTTGATGAGTCCCACAGTCAGAGAATACATCTTGCTAGGAGGCTTCCATTAACCTTCTTCTCATATATATATATGTAATTTTTTTCTTACAATAAATTCCATGCATTCATACAGCTCTCATCTTCAATCAAATCCAAAAGCAGAGCTTCCTACTTACAGGCTCTGAAACACACTTATCAGCCTGAAAGCAAATCAGCCTTCCAGTCTCAGGTAAGCAAAGGAGATGCTTCTGAAGCCGGGGAGGCAGGAAGGGATTCCTTCAGATGGGCTTGTACAGCAGAGTAGTGACATACTTCTTCTTGTAGCGATGGGTTGCACTAAGGACCATCACACTGTCCTGCAAGGAAAAGAAATGTGCAACTAACTCATTAGATCAGGCAGTACACAGTTCTTCCCAGCCATCAGTCCTTCACAGTTGCTTACTTTTAGGAGAAATAGTTTGGTATTATAGAAGGAGGATGGTTTTGGAGTCAAATCCACTTAAGCTGATCCTGAATCCTACTGTTTGTCGCCTTGAATAATCTACTTAATGTCTGTCTTTTTTCTCATCATTAGAAGGATAATACCTACCATAAAGGGAGCTCTGATGATTATACCAGAATATCTGGCATAGTACCTGACTTAGTAGGTGCTGAAGAAGTATCAGTCTCACATTTCACTCTCTTCCTCATTTCAAATTTGATTACTGGGTTTAAAACTAGCAAAGAAAAAAGAAGGAAACATCTTGGCATCTATTTCTAGAAGGAAGTCTTAAATGCAATAAGAAAGGGCAGCGATCCTTTTAAAAAACCATTTCCATGTTCTGAAGCAGATCTGATTTCTATTTAATACCAGGGATGAACTTAGAAAGTCTCCTCTGATCAAGAGGGACTCAGGAATCCCCCTCTATCCTTGAATAAAGTGGACACCAAAATCTTCCTAGGAAAACAGCCTAAACAATCTGGGTCAATGACAGGGTCAATCACAATAATCAAGACCAGCATGAAAAGTAAAAGGTACAATTTCCCAGGCTGTGCCTCAGGTGACGCAGAAGACAGCAGGCCTGTGGACATCCCTTGATAGCCAAGGAGCAGTTAAAGGAGGCAAAATTCAGTCAGATTCCAAAGAACCCAAGCAGATCCAATTGAGAGACCAGTTCATCTTCCTATTTTTTCTGATACTGTTTATCCACAATGAATGCTTCCCAGATTAACATTCTCTGACCAGAGTATGGTGACCATAGCCTAAATATGACAGAAGGCAGGTAAAAAGTTCTACTCCAGGAAGGGTTTGATAGAAATAAGAAGCAGGTGAGAGGAAGACCTACTTTAAAAGACCTGGCAGAGTAAAAGCTAGGATAGAACATGGAATAAGGATACGAGGAATGGACTTCAGTCCTCTCTCTGGTACTTACTGGCAATTTGAACTTCTCTGAGCTTTATTTTCTTTATCTATAAAACAGGGGTTAAAAATAATACTTACAAGGTTATTATAAGAATAAATTCAGTAATATAAACTTTGAAAGTACCTGTTAAAGAAGTAATCTGTTAAAGAAGCTATTAGTGACTTCCCTTATCTAAAGCACATCTAAGAAATATAAGCAGCTTAAAAAGATGACTGGGACCCATCCTAGATGCACTTATTCAGAATCCCTGGGGATGTAGTCTCTGAATCTGTATTTTTACAAACTTTCCAGGTGATTCCAGTGATGATCAGCCTAGTCTGGTAACTGTAGAGCAATATAAAACTTTATTCCAACAGCCAAGCCACAAAGACATGACTAGATTGAGTGAATACTTTCAAGCTAGATTTTAAAGCAGGAGGGACACCAAGGACTCTAAGAGCTGAAGGGGACACAGCGAATCTGGTTATGTTTCTCCCAAACCAGTATATGTAAAAGAGATGCATACACTTGGGTATATGTGACTGAGGCACCTGTAGACAGCTGTGTCCACCTTTTTTTTTTTTTAAAAAAGGAAGCCTTAATATCACATTTAAGAATTCTTTGAACTCGAAGCTAAACTTGCTTTTTCTGCAAATGAAATTTTAGTGCAATAAATTCAAAATTAAGTAGGTAGTAAAAAGGTTATAGCTATCCATAAGAAACCAGGGTACAAAAAAAGTTCACTCACAGGGAAATTCAGCTAGCCAGAACACAAATATAAAGACTAAGATTTTTTTAAATTAAATTTATTGGGGTGACACTGGTTAATAAGATTACGTAGGTTTAAAGTGTACATTGCTATGATAATGATCTGTATTTCATTGTGTGCCCACTACCCAAAGTAAAATGATCTTCCTTCACCATATATTGACCTTTTACTACACCCCAATCCCCTTCCCTCTGGTAACCACCATACTGTTGTATATATCTATGAGTTTCAGTTTTATATCCTACAAATGACTGAAATCACCTGGGTTGTTAGCTTTTTCTGACTATTTCACTTAGCATAATATTCTCAAGGTCCATCCATGTTGTCACAAATGGCAATATTTCATCTTTTCTTTTGGCTGAGTGGTATTCCTTTGTATGTATGCACCACATCTTCTTTATCCAATCATCCACTGAAGGACACTTTGGTTGTTTCCTAGTCTTGGCCACTGTGAATACTGCTGCAATGAACATCAGGGTGCATATATGTTTGCAAAGAAATGTTTTCAAATTTTTTTTTTTGGTAGATACCCAGGAGAAGGATCAATGGTTCATATGGTAACTCTATTCTTAATTTTTCTGAAGAGCCTCCATACTGTTTCCCACAGTGGATGTACCAGTTTACATTCCCACAAGCAGTGAATGTGGGTTCCTTTTTCTCCAGAGCCTCTCTAATACTTATTACTCATCTTGTTGATAATAGCCATTCTAACAGGTATGAGATAGTATCACACTATAGTTTTGATTTGTATTTTCTTAACAGCTAGTGAAGTCGAACATGTTTTCACACGTCTGTTGGCCATTTGCATGGCTTCTTGGAGAGGTATCTGTTCAGGTCTTCTGTCCATTTTTAATTGGATTATTTGTTTAGTGCTGAGTTGCACGAGTTCTTTATCTATTTTGGATATTAACCCCTTATTGGGCTGCTGTTTGCAAATATTTTCTCCCACTGGGTTGGTAGCTTTTTTTGTTTTGTTGTTGGTTTCTTTTGCTGTACAGAAGCTTTTTGAGATTAAGATTTTTTTTTAAAAGTCAGAAAAACCTCCCACTAGTTAAAAAAGTTCTCTGTAATTTGACCGTTACTGCCAGCCTTAGCTTCAGTGAAGCAGCAGAACAAGTAACCACTGGAGAACATGTTACCCATTCCTCCCATTTAGAGGACCTCTGTGAGGAGTCAGCCCCACCACTTACCTTAATGGACAACGCATAGAGATGGTTTAACATAACATGATTGGGCTCAGGGAGCAAGGCTGGGTCACACTAAGAGAGGGAAAAAATCATGAATGGAGTTAAACGCACAGTCTTAACCCAGGCAGTTTACTGTTCTTCCAAGCCCTTCGGGATTGTTGAGAAACTCTAAACTAGTACGTATTATTTCTTTTAAATACTGAACTCACCCTTGCATATATCAATAATACATTCTCATTACAGGAAATCAGGAAAATTCTGAGTGCAGAGTAGACACCCTAAGCCACAACATATAAAAGTTTCAGGTTATGAGGCAAAAGTAATCTTAATAGGAATCAAGTGAATTGACTAGAGATGTAAATTTTTTTAAAAAACACAAAAAAATACTTCTTATACTTCTTTTCTATATTCTCAAATGACAAATATTCCTTATCTTGTATTGGAATATAAATCCTGGAAACTAGTTTTTGTAAACCATAGCTCTGGGCCTGAATTATCTGGACCAGACAGCAACTATGAATTTTGACATCAGTACCTACAAAAGTCACAACTCAGCCCTAGTAATGATTACGCGCGCGCGCACACACACACACATCTGTCCAGAACGCATCCAGCCACGTAATATGAAAAATAGAGACATTCACTGAAGAAGATACAAGATACAAGAAACATTGTACAGAGGACAATGATGTCTCAGTCCCCTTCAAAGTACTCACGTTGGGACCTCACGCAGTTCTCCCAATTGCCGTTAGCTGCCCCATGGTATTTTCCTGAATCTCATAAATAGTCTGAAGTTTCTTCCCGTTCAAAGGTGATTTTAGTTTTAGGAAAAGCCAGAAGTCACAGGGTGCCAAATTTGGGCTGTTAGGTGGACTGAGTCACCTGGGTGATTGGATGTTTCACCAAAAAAACTCTGCACGAGACATGATGCACGAGTGGATGTGTTGTGATGAAGCCGCCAATCGCCAGTTGCCCATAGCTGCAGCCTTCTAAATTATCCCAATAGTTTCCACAGAGGAATGTACAAGCTTAATGCAAAATCTGATGCAGATTCGTTGCTCTACTCAAGTCATTTTGAATGCAACGGCCACAGACTACACATGCTCACTCAACAGCGTCTATTGTCCCCATTGACTGGTACAGTGAAATCATCATTGTTCACGCATGTGCATGCCAGTCCACTCCCCCTGGCTGCCAGGTTACATCGATGTTGTGCAAACCATTCTCATTATATTAACAACGGCTTGACTTTTTTCCAAATATATATATATGAGGTCTGTCTAGAAAGAGTCAGCACTGTTAATGGTCACTCAGCTCCCCTACAGTCCTGTGACTTGGTAGCCTATGACTCGGTAGCCTGTGACTTGGTAGCTTGTGACTTCTGGCTTTTTCCACAACTAAAATCACCTTTGAAAGGAAAGCAATTTCAGACTATTTATGAAATTCAGGAAAATATGACAGGGCAGCTGATGGCGAATGCGAAAACTGTGTGAGGTCCCAAGGTGCCTACTTTGAAGGGGACTGAGGTGTCACTGTGCTATGTACAAGGTTTCTTGTATCTTTTTCAATGAATGTCTCTATTTTTCATATTAAATGGCTGGTACATTCTGGACCTCCCTCCCGCCCCCACGAAATAATTCAAACCTCTAGGACTTTAGCTCAAATGGTCCTAGTGACCCCAAGCTGCCCCAGCAATACTCTCAGGATACTCACAGAAATATTAGTGTCCTTGTTAAGAATAACTTGGAGAAGGTGAGGAGGCAAGATGGGTGGGGATTTGAATCTCTCCTCAGATCGAAACATATACATTTCTTGACCATAAGGCCCTGGGGGTGAGCTGGAAAGGTCTGGAAGACATTTATCCAAATATAAGGGAAAGTTGGAGAACTAGTAAAAAATGCATGAAAAAAACGTCATTGCCATGGCAGCTAATAATAAATATACAAAAGTCATAAAAGTCATGGATCATAAACTTGTGACACGCTGGATCTACAACTGTAAGGCAACCAAAAAAGAAAAATCTGAGTCATCCTGAACATAAATCAAGAAGTTCCTCAACATGGTAATATGAGGATGGAGGAGGAGATGAAAGGTAAAAGATGTAGTTTTGGGAAGTACTCCACTTATCAGTTATATGAGGTGGGATAAATCCTACCACTATGGTCAGTTTCCTCATTCATAAAATAAAAATAATCTCTGCCCTATTTCACAATATTTTTAAAGGAATCAATTAAGATAATAAATGTGAGCCCTGGCTGGGTGGCTCAGTTGGAGCATCATCCCGTATACCAAAGTTTCAATTCCCAGTCAGAGCACATACCTAGGCCGTGGGTTTGATCCCCAGTCAAGGTGTGTGCAGGAGACAACTAATTGATGTTTCTCTCTCACATTGATGTTTTCCTTTCTCTCTCTCTCTCCCTGCCTCCCGATTCCTTCTCTTTCTAAATCACTATTTAAAATAAACCTATCTTCTGGTGAGGATTAAAGGAAAAAAAAGATAATAGATGTGACAATGCCTTGTAAACTGTCAAACAATATGAAAAAATTAGATCTCTTCCCTTTTCTACCCAAGCAACAGACAACAAGGTTATAAACTCTAAGACTACTGATACTGCCATAATTTCAATGAGACAAAATTACTAACAAAGTAGTAGTCATTAGGGAAATGCAAATAAAAACTACAATAAGATACTACTGCCTTGCTGGAGTGGCTCAGTGGATTGAGGGCCAGCCTGCGAACCAAAGGGTCACTGATTTGATTCCCAGTCAGGGCACATGCAGGAAAGTTGCAGGCCAGGTCCCCAGTAAAGGGCACTCAAGAGGTAACCACAACAGATGTTTCTCCACCCCCTTTCTCCCTCCTTTCCCCTCTCTCTAAAAATAAATAAATAAATAAATAAATGATCTTTAAAAAAAGTATACCACTTAAAATTCATTAAGATGGCTATAATAAGATTTACAATAATAATAATTGTTGGCAAGTATGTGGAGAAACGTGAACCTTCATACCGTTCTCATTGCTGTTGAGTATGTACAATGGTAGAGCTGCTTGGAACAACGGTTTGGCAGTTCCTCCAAAAATTAAACATAAAGTTACCATATGACCCAGAAATTACAATCTGGGTATGTACCCAAGAGAAATTAGAACATATGTCCACATAAAAACTTGAACACAAATGTTCATAACAGCATTATTTATAATACACAAAAAGTGGTAACAATCCAAATGTCTATCAGCTAATGAATGGAGAAACAAAATAAAATATTGATATAGAAGAATTTTATTCAGCTATAAAAAAGAATAAAGTACTTGTACATATTACATCCAGGATGAACATACTAAGTGAAAGAAGCTCGATACAAAAGACCACATATTGTATGATCCCATTTACATGAAATGCCCCAAATAGAAAAGTCCATAGAGACAAAAAGTATTTACATGTGTGGTTTCCAGGGGATATGGGAGGAGGAAACGGGAAGTGATTGCTTATAGGCATGGGGTTTCGTTCTGGTGATAAAAATTAAGATAGTGGTGATGGTTACATCTTTGTGAATATACTAAAACTTACTGAATTGTACACTTTAAAAAGGTGAATTTTATGGTATGTGAATCATATCTTAAAATGAAAAATACGTACAGACAAAAATAAAAAGAAATATACAAAAATTTTGTACAAAAATATACAAAAAAGAACTATAATTTTTTGCTTAACAAAGTTTAAGTTTTTTTATAAACCCTAGTAAAACAATTTTAAAAACCAGTTCAGTATGAGAATTCAGATTTCAGTTGAATATATTAGAGGCAAAAAGTAGTAATAATACTGTTGTATTAACCAGTATCTTAAAAATACACAGAACTTTTACACTTTTCAAAACACTGTTATTTTCTTAGGTGATCCACAAAACACCCCTAGGAAATACTACTAAGAAAGTTTTTGTTTCCTTTCCATCCAAAAAAAAAAATAAAAATTGGTCAAGTGATTTGCTTGATGTCATATCCACAGGAAGATGGTCATTGAATGCAGATTAAAACCCATTGTCTGCAGATTCCTAATAAATGTATTCTAAACCTTACCTCAGTGGATCAGGAAATAGGGTGAAACATAGAAGAAAGAAATATCAAAAGTATGCTAGTCCTCTCTATATAATTATGATTATATGTCTATTATTTATTGGTTGCTTTCCCAGAATCATGTAATGCAAAAATTTAATATGTGACTTCATGATTTAACTCTGTATTTTTAAACCCTTTTTAATCACTGACCCCCAGCCAAGAAGAATATCCAGCTTTACTTTCTGAGCTTTTATAATGATAAGCTTTTATAATGAGCTTTTAAAATGTTTTAGAAAATTCTTACAATTTTTCTAAACAAAAATACGATTGATTATTCTTTTAGAAACAGCCCTGAGATTCTATTATGTCCCATTTAAAGTATTTTGTTTCATCAGCTGAGAGTCAATGAGAATATAAGCCTCCAGTTTTACTCATAAGGAACTGAGAACCAAAAAGGTTAAAGGACTTGTCCATGATGGCAAAGCTAGAAAGTAGCAGAGGCAGGCTTTGAACCCAAAAGGGAGAAGTATGTTAACTAGGAACACAGTGCACACAGCTCTGTAGACAGTCCTAAACTTTCTTGTAAATTAGGAAAATGGCAACTACGAGTGCGGTTAGCAAATCACTTTTATGGTGCTGCAGCAAATGTACAAAGAGATGAAGGCATTGGAAAAAATAATATTGGGAGAAACAAAAGGATACAGACCTTTTGGTCTCCCAAGGAATTTTTTTAAATCAAAAACTGACAAAATTTCAGTTAACATACAAACAAAAGACTGGTGGGGTTTTTCTTGTCTGCTTTTCCCCAAAGACTGACACAGCTGTGGGGTCCTATAACACTGTAGAACTGCCAACTGAGCTACCAACTGACAGGATTAAGCTAAGGCAGCTAAACAAGGCAAACCAGACAACATCTCTCTGTGGGATGATACCACCATCAAGGTCAATGAAAAATCTGGAATATTATTGGAAATAGCTTTCTAAAATATAGGCCATAACCCACTAGTGACTTAAAAAAAGAAACTATAAAACAGAAAACAGAGTTCATCACATGTAATAAAGGCAAACCTTGTTCTGTAAGACTTGTTTTTCAGGGGGGGGTGTGTGTGTGTGTGTGTGTACGGGGTTACAGTGTAAACCAGTCTTCCTATAGATCCTGATTAAAAAATTTGAAATCAAATATTCTAAACTGGTATTTTTTTTTGGTCTCAGAGAAGGAGACCTAAATGTTTACAGAATTATACAGGGTGGGGCTGAAAGCAAGTTTACAATTGTTTGTATGGAAAACAATATAATAATTAATAAATAATACAAGAATAAACTCTGTCTTGCATGTACTCACAACTGTAAACCTACTTTTAACCCACACTGTATATAATTCAGATTTCTTAAGAGAAAATGAAAAAAACCACCACTCTTGTGAAGGAACATGCATTATTAGAGAAACACATCAAGAAAGAGCAAATACTACAAACTTACCTCGACAAGATGTCTCTGAGCTTTCCATTGAATCTAGTTTTAAAGCATCAAACACCTCAAAATCAGATTTTTTGACATGGATCAAATTGTTAATTGTGCCAAGCTGACTGGTAACCACAGGCTGAAACAGTGAATGGAAAAAATTTATGAGTCCCTGTTTTAAATCCATCTCTTCCATTTAACTCTCCTCTTTTTAGAAATGATCATACTCGCCACCTCCATCTTTTATCAAGAGAAATCCTCTGGTGCAGGAGAGCTGCTGCCAATTGATCGGATCCTGACAGCAATGGAGTTTGACAGCAAGGGGAATAATAGTTAAGAGGAGACTGTTAAGTCAGTGGTTACCCTCAGAGATCAAGGCCTTACCTCTGATGGATCATGAACCCACTGTCCATCCACGAAGAACTTGTATTGGTGCTCTCCCTCAGGGAGGTCCAGGATGGCCACAAAGTCATTATGGCTACAGAAGAAAACAGAAAGTTAAACAGACCAAGTTCCTAGCAGAAGACAGAATGTAAATGTAAAAACCATGAGGCTATCAAAATATCATACCAGTTATCTCCCACATTGCTAAGCAATTGTACCCACTGCAGTAAAAAATAATTTATAAACCCAGTTTCCTTTCCTATATCATGTTCAGCATGTATTTGTCAGCCCCTCCCAGTAACTTTAGTTCTTAACTAACATCTGGAAAAGAATAAAGATGTTATCCTCCCAAAATGGTTCACCTTAGTACAACTATTTTGCTTCAGCAGAACAGATCCCTCACAAGTGTTAAGTAAGGTGTCAGTAGGTTCAGGATACAGAAGTGGCTCCAGGTACCCTTTCCATATTTTGGTGAGCATCTTCTGGAAAATTACATACAAATACGTAGGCCTTTCTGATAACTAGTTAAATAATTCACTACTGTTCTGCAGGCAACAAATAATATTACTACCTAGAACTTCACAATGTGTTTTGTTTTGGTGCAGAAGACAGAACAACTGGACTCAGCTACTTACAGAACACTTCCTACAAGCATAGAAAGGACTTGAAATAACAGTCCTAAAAAATGTACCCACAAACCTGTGAACCCCTCTGAATGGTAAAATACCTAAGCTGTACAACACCTGACTCACTATGAGATTAAAAAAAAGTTGCAGATATAGTCATTGGTTACAGAAAATGTTCAAGAGTCCCTAGCAGATGGAGAGACATGATCCAGCCAGATCTCTACTCCTGGACTCTGTAGACTTAATCAAGACATTTGTTTTCACCTCTTAATCAGTGGAATCTTGGTGCTCCAATTGTTGAAGGACCCAGAGATGAAGACCTCCTTGCCTCCTTCAGACCAGCGGATAACAGTGGGCCGGGCCTGCTGTGTGGGCTTTACGGAGTCCTCCAATTCCTGCTGCCATGATACAAACTCTTTGTCCCCAGGGAGCTGTAAGAAGGAATAGGTCATCCCTAAACTGTGACCCAGGAATTCTTAAAAGGTCACTCTCCTCCCTAGGGCAGAGATGGGTGCTAGGTCTCTGCTAAGGATCAATAAGCCCTGAAATTAGCAACTAAATAAGGTTTGAACACTAGAGAAAATAACTCATCTAGGATCAAAATGGCCAAATGGCTTATGTTCAAGGGCTGCCCAAATCACATCCTAACTTCAAAGGCTATTTCCTGTTACCACATTAACTCACAGGCAGGCAATGATAATATACTTCTGACTGCCTCTTAAGAGGAAAAAATATAAAAACCAAGTATGGTTCTATAAGAATAATTAAGTTACCCAGGTATTTTTCACATGCAAGTATGAAAAGCTCTCAATTATCATTGTAATGGAAGTTAGAGATACTGAAATTCATAACTCCATCTTAGCTAATAGGTTACAAAGGACATTAAAAATATACAAACCAAATCATTGGTTTCTTAAATTTTGAGTAGTGATTATGAAATCTTATTTGCTCATCTATGTCAGGTTTATACTAATTATTTCAGGAGTATGAATGAAATTTCTAGAGCCTAAAGGAACATCAGATCAAAAACACAACTTCCTTCAATAAAACCAGTTCCAATATCAAATGAGGTCTGTAGGATTCTAAAAACTGACTCCTTACTTAGTTTCTTTTCATTACCTTTTTGGGAAAATTTCCTGGGGCTGAGAGACTGAACAGGCTGACAATGCTATCACTACATCAAGTTTATTAAGGGAACTTAACATGAGGCTCCTATCCTGGGCATCAGCAAGATAATGTGGGTATACTCAAAACCCGGTAGCTTACACTAAAGAATTCTATAGAATAGAGAAGAATGGATAGGGACTGGGGCAAGAGCTGCCCCAGATAAGGGAAAACAGTCATTGGCTTGGGCAGGACAATGGCCTGCTCAAGGGACCAGCACACCTGGGGCATAGGGCAGGGGTCGATCAGACAATCTCTGAGTGGATTTACAGGAAGCAATCTTTGTTTTAGCCTGGATGTAGGTGGATTTAGCTGGTGGGTCAGACAGAGGTTATGTCTTGGAACAGTCTCTATGCCACATACAATACTTTAGAAGATTTAGCAAACTATGGCCAGTGAGCCAGATATTTTCATAAAGTTTAACTGAAAAAGAGCAGTTATTCATTTACTAAGTATCTACAACTACTTTCATGCTATAGCGGTAGAATTGGATAGTTGTGAGAAACTCTAAGGTCTATAAAGTCTAAAACATTTACTATCTGGCCCTTTACAGAAAGTTTGCTGGATCTCCACTTTACACTGGCTTAAATGACACTGGTAAATAGGTAAATAAGACTGTACAGTATCAAATCAAAATATTACCAAAAAAATAATGTGGATTTTAAAAACAGGACTAGCTTATTCATTTGGGCTTTATTTTCAAAACGGCTGGGGTAGTCTACCTTCCATACTGCCTCTCAATATTTCTCAAAACTGTACTCAGACACCACAATCTGAGCAGCACAATTTGAAGTAAACAGAGAAACAGGATTGAAGGGACTTTCTCACTGTATAAGTGGAGTAAGAGAAAACCTGATCTTAAAGCAATGCACTCTTGTCTGACAGGCTACATTAGAATTACAAAAATTTCTACATATGTCTAAGAATAATACTCAGATTCTAATTCAGACATAGGGCCTGGGAATCTCTTTAAGTTTCCCATATAATAATGCTATGACATATTAAACAAAGAAATCTTTAGAGATGTATCCTAAAATACTTAAATAAAATAATATATGATATGTCTAGAATTTGCTTCAAAATAATTGGTGGGAGGGAGTGAACTGGGTATAAATGAAATACATCCATTCATGAGTTGATCATTGTTTAAACTGGGTGACATGTATTTAGGAATTCATTACACTGTTCTCCCTCTGCTTTGAAACATGAAAAATATTTCAAACTTTTCATAAAGTGTTTTAAAAAATCTCAGGTGATTTTAATGTGCAAACAGAATTTAGAACTGAAGGTTGACGTTGGAAGCAATACAGTCCCCACTACTACTGTTCCTATCAGTTACTTTCATGATTTAGGATTTTTCAATTAAAAATTTGAAAGCTACAAACTATTGATATGCCTAACTTTGGAAGAAAGCCCTTCCAGGTATGACATGACACGTCTGTGACAGCATGAGTACAGTTAACTAGGAGAAAGACTGTTTATTCCAAATTAGTCAGCAAAGTCATCAGTTAAAGAGACAAAACAGAATTACCGTTTGAAATGTTTAAGTACAACACTGAGAGAAAAAATAGAGAATAGTTTGAGAACTATAAAATCTTAGATTTGGAAGAGACTTTAGGAATTATCTGAACCCATTTTCTTATTTCACAAATGCCAAGATTGCGATAAGGGAAAGAATAATCCAAAATAGGATCCAATTCAGATAAAGCAATCTGGCTTTTATTGAGGACACCAAATAACGCAGTCGCGGTTTGACATTTACATTGTACTTAAACTCTGAGTCATCAGTATAGGAAAAGGGTAAAAATACAGTGATGTAGGTCACCTTGACGAAGTACATTCAGATGGCTGGGTGGACAGCCCAAATAATGAGAAAGAAGTCCTGAAGGGTGATAAGAAAGGAACAGAGAAGAAACCCCCGAAAATGCTCATTTTAATCAGCCTCACTCCCCCTTTCTCTGATTTTGTTTTCAGTTGGGATCCAAGAAAATAACCAAATTCCATGTGCTACCAACTTGGAAAATCATTCTCTACTTTCTTTGTGGAAGAGATAAGAAACATCAAACACACTCCAATCTCTTCCCTCCATTTTTCTACTTCATCCTAGTTGGCCTTAATGCATTTAATTTAATGCTAACAGCTGTAAAAGTGATTAGAAACATTTGGATGGCGTTCACATTGCTGTCAGCTCCATTAACCCTTTCTTTAGAGTGAACAGAAGGTGCTGCTTTCCTGAAAGTCCTCGGAACTGAGAGCAAGGTCTTCAGGGCCGCTGTGGATGGTCGTTTTCAGCCATGGTAACATGATGGGGTACTACTGGGAAATGGAGAAATGCTGGAATTATTTGCTCTGCCACCTGAGGAGCAGCTGGCCGTGGAAGAAGCACAACCTTAGCCATGACAGCTATAGAGTGTAAGACAAAAACTTAGCAGCAATGTTCTTTATCGATCTCTGAGGCTAGGAAAAAGTATTCAAATAAGCAAGTGGTGGTTGTTCACAGTAAAGCCAAAGGGGAAAAGGATCAGACGGGCTGAGCTCCCAGAATGTCAATAAAGATACTGATACATGGAAGTTGTCGGGGAAAAAAAAATTCATATACCCACCTCGGGGTAAATGTGAGAAACTATGCAGTTTTCTACCAGCGCTTACAACTTATATAGTCATCAATACTCTAGAACAGAACACCCTGCCTGTTAGGAGAACCGAAGATTGCCGAGGGGGTCGGGGCGGGGGCGGCGCGGACCGGGGGTCCTACTGTCTTCATCCTGAAAATGTGGCCAACAGATGAGTCAGAAAACAAAAACTCTTTCTTCTATTTTGAGGCAGTACTGCAAGAGGAATTGCCATCCGACATCTCCGTTCCCGAAAAATCCCTCTAATTCATGAAACCGTAACCCCAGGTCGGTGTGATAAGAACTAAGAAATGGAGGAGAAGCCCTGACACCCAGGCCGCTGCCGAAATCTCCACCAGCTCGGGGTGTGGAAACGCTCACCTTGGAGTCCGGCAGGTTGAAGAGGCTCGGGTCGTCGGTGCTGCCCACCATAATCTTGTGCTCCTTGTCCAGGCCATGGCCGCTGGCGCCCTCGGCGCGTGCAGCCTTGGCGCCGTGGCGCTCCCCGGCCACCCGGTCACTGGTGGTGTTTCCCATGACTGCAGGTCTAGTCGGGGACCACCTGCCGTGGGGAACAACACGGGGGAGGAATATCGCGGCGGTGGAGTCGGGAGCACCCCCGGCCCCGCCCCGCCGTCTGGGTACCCGGTTAAGGGAATCCCCGCCGCATAGAAGCCGTGTCCCGTGTCTCCTCCCTCCTGGGCCTCCAGGAACTCCAGCAATGCCGGGAACCTCGAAACCCCTTCGCTATCCGCTGCTCAGGAAACCAGCTTTCGGGAACTCCCCTGGATACCAGCGCCCGCGCCCCCGCCCCCGCCGGCACCCGGGTCACCTCCCGCGGTGCGCTCCCTCTTCCCAGAGCTGCCGGTGCGATGGGTGTTCTGATGATAAGGCCACCAATAAAGTTATTGAAATTGAAGCCGCGCCCCGGGGTAGCGAGCCGGCTTTCCTCCTAAAATGGCTACAAGGCCTGCCGGACTGGCCCGCCCCGCGCGCGTTCCCTACGGGCGCGCCGCGCAGCGCTGCGCCTGGGCCCGCTGGTCTCTCTACCCGCCTACGCCTCGGTGATGGACAGCCAAGCGCAGCCTCCGGCGCCTGACTGGGGCGCCCGCCCGCAATCAGCTGCCGGCTGGACCCGGGCCACCAATTTGCGGGACTGCTCCGGGAAACGGTTCGCTGAGCCCCCGGGCCTACCGTGTAGAGGATACGATCACTGGATGACACTAGAGGCTGCCACCCTGGCTCTGGTGTTCAGTAACGGGAGGAGCGGCGCATCATTCTTCCTGGCCCCCGCACTGATTTCCTTGTCATACACGACCCTGAAAGGTGGGCTCTTTGAGGTAATAAGAAACCGGACTTCCCATTTAAGGCCGAATTGCTCATGGTTAAAACTTTAAGTCTTGTAGAGAACAGGCAGCTCAACTGGAGGCCAAGGGAAGGAGTGATCAGGAGATAAACCTTAACAAATTAGTAAAATATCAGTCTAAAGAGACTGAGAAAGCTATTACAAGCTAAGAAACAGTATATGCAGCAAGCAACCCCCAGAGAAACGAAATTCAAGAAAGAGAGTCAACAACAAAAACAGCAGAAGGAATACTAGGCAGAAAACGGCAAAGACAGTCCTGGGTTTGGGACAAATCCAGGCTTTTACTGATAATTAGTGGTATTTAGTAAGTCTTACCCTGTGTTATAATTATATGAGTGTTTCATTCCCTATTAGCAACCATTGTGTTCAACATGTGTTACACAGACCAGCAAGTATTGGCTCACTTAGCTTGTTGCAAATGCAAAATCTGGGCCTCATCCTATAGAACTGAAATGTTCATTTTAACAAGATCCCTGGGGGAAAGTGTGTCACATTCAAGTGTAAGGAACACAGCTTTGACAAGTGGCAGAGAGCAAATCTCAACTTGATTCCTTTTCATATTCAGCACATACTTTGTGCAGAGTAAGTTTTAATAGCATTTACAAACTGAAGGATATGTTTACTAAATTTATCACAAGATAATGCCACTTGGGCTTAAACACAGCCAGTGGTGGGGAGCCTGAAGTCACACAAGCCTGCCCTTTCTGAATGAGCTGCTGTATTTATATAAAAGTTCATTTTTATGTTAGGTTGAAAACCCACCCACTTAATGTCCAACAAATCCACTGCTCCCCCTTTTATCTGTGCTCTGCCTTTAATAAACTCCGTTGTTTTCTGGCTCTTAATCAAAGACAGTTTGCATTAAAAGGCACATTTTTACAGCAACCTTTTGCTTACTCCTCCCAAATCTTGACTGTTTGCTTACTTCCTATTTGGTTACATCCTGCCCACTTCACCTCCCCCCACTTTCTTTTATTCTTTCCATAGGACTCTGAAACAAGGCCTTTGATGAGAAAACACATTAAACTATTCAGATCTCCAGGGTGGTTTCTTCATGCCAAATAATGTCTCTGGTAGGTATTTCCTTACAGCGCTCAAATCAGCATAGGAGAAGCAAACCAAGTATTATATTAGCCAATGTAAAACTTAATAAGAAGAGAAACTTTTTGTAAAGCTAAACAGAAATGACTTTTGGATTATCTGATTTGGGAGTGTTAAACGAGAAACTTTCACAGCCAAAAGGTTTTCTGAAAGAGAGGGTTATTGAGCCAAATCCTAGCCAAAATAGGACCAGGTCCTGGGGCATGCCATCTGAACCACCAGCAATAGGAATAGGTGGAAAAGACAAACATGTTTGAGCTACTGGAATTGATGGGCTCCTTTATGCCACAAGTTTGGAGAAGAAAGATGTAAGTTGTTTTGAAAGAATTTACACCACTATAGTAAATGGGGTTAATGCTGGACATGGCCCCTACACCACCCATGACAGAAGGCTGGCAGAGGGCCCCTGACCACGAGAAATGTGTATTGTCCTGAGGAATGGAATGTAGTTCCCTCCTTATTTCCCCTGAGGATCGGTTTCCTGCCCAGTGACTGCTTCTTGCCCTTTCCCTCCTGCATTTACACCTGATGTAATGTGGTTCTAAACTACATGCAACTTGGACCCATGCCACCTTTGTCTACGGCCCCTTATAATGAGCCTCAGACTGGGGGGAGGGGGGCGGAGTGGTCCTGCTTTGCCAGTTTGCTGCCATAGGTGCTCCCTGTAATGTGAGTAATAAAGGCTATGTCTGCTCCATCAGGTCCTCATTGTGGTTTTTTTGACTTATCCAAACAAGTGGTGGAGATCCCCAGGCGCATTACATTTGACATAGGTGGCAGGATTCGGATACTTTGAAAAATCCCTGAGTTTAGTTGACTGTGGACGACGTTATGCTGAGTAGGGGGTTGCCGGGGGAATCCTGGGCTGGCAAGCAAATTCTATGTAGTTTGGAGAGGCAAACCTTCTTGATTCATGGGGACCACCACAGGACTGGGGGGACACCCCCGAAATTCCAGTTGTAATCCTGTAGGCCTTGGAGCATATAGAAGCGCATTGTGCCCTAGGAAAACAGAAAGACCTCCGCCATGTTACCATGTTACCACTGCCTTTGCTTGGCTGATGCTGCCAGCACTGCAGAATGTGATTGAGGAGCAGATAAAGGCAGAGGCACATGCTGCACATTTAGAAGAGGGACTGAAACTAGAAAGGGATATGTGTTTCTTACAGGCGGACAGTAAGGACATCCTAAGGAGAGAGTTAGAACAAACCATTGAGCAATTACAGGACCTAGCATGCCACTCTGCCAGGGCTTGGGGGGTGAGGACAATTAGTGCCCACCCATATACGAGTAATTGTGGCACAGTGTGACTGGAATCCCCAAAAGCAAGATCCTATCGCCGAAAGTGAAAGTGACTCAGATGGAGAGATCATCATGGATGAGGACAGGGAGAATATAAAGGTAGAAGAAGGGAAGTTTATGGCTCATCCCATTATGACCCAGAAGATTAACATCCAACAGCCACATGTGCCACAGGGCATTCAAGTGCCACCTCCCTAGCAGACCTTGCGCACCACAGTGTGCCCACATACCCCTGCTGAACTAGTAGAGCTGGCTGCAAACTTCAGACGGGAAGGGTCTGAATCCTTTGCGGGGTGGCTATTGTGGCTGTGGGATTCAGGGACTGATGGCATTTTGCTTATGGGGGATGATTTGAAACATAATGTCTTCTCTCACCACCCATCCCTGTTTAAGATAAAGGATTCATGGGGTCAGAACTCAAGCTGGTCCCACAACTGTACTTCTCTCATGGCTAATGGTTGGCTGTAGAGCAGGGCAGTTTAATGAGGGGGATCTACCCTCCTCTAATCCATGCTGGACCAGTTTATTGGAGCTCCAGCAGATCACCTGGGAACTAAGCATGCAACATGCCATTTATAACCCACAGTCCAATGGGCCAGCAATAGATTTACTGCAAGAATGAGGGATCAGGTTGTGCAGACAGTGCCCCTGACTTACTTTGGTACCCTGATACCTATTTTGTCCACCAAGGTGGACGATCATGTACAGGAAGTAGTACAGACAGTTGGCGACTTAGGGGAGGTAGAATTACTGAGACAGAAGAAAGTAATAAGACCTGTAGAAAAGAAGGACAAAGAAGGAAAAAAAAAAGAGAATTTAACTGTGAAAAGTAAACAGAAAGGCCCTGTGAAGGTAACCCACAAACAGCTATGGAATGACCTGGGCTCGGGGGGTGGGGGCAACTAGTATCCACCCATATACAAGTAATTACCCATAACTATGTAAAGCCTAAGGCAGACAAAGACAAAATGGACAAAAAGCATTAACTGTGTCCTTGTAAGCCTGTGGCAGCAACTGAAACCTGAGCAACAGTTCTCGCCTATAGCGAGATCTGTGCAAATGGTAAAATGGACACCGTCAACCAAGACAGTCCCAACCAAGGCACCCCCAGAGCCAACACCCTGTTTGGCTGACTTTATGGCTGCTCTACTTGTAGAGTTGCTACTGGCCTACTCAGAGGATGGCCCATGAGGAGGGACCTTGGCATAGAGGGATGGCCGAGGGACCCACTTACAGGTACCTGGTAGGGACTGGAGGCCACATGTAGAACTTGCTATTTATTGGTCCCCAAAGAATGTACAAAGAGTGGCTCTAGTTGATACTGGTATAGAATGTACTCTTATGGTAACACAGAGAAGTTTAGAGGACCCATAGTGCCATTGATGGCTATGGAGGACAATCTACTTGGGTGGGAGCTGTGGCTTTAACCCTTGAGATAGGGCTTTTACCACCCTGCCCCTATAAGGTATATGTTTCCCCTATTCCAGAGTACATCCTAAGAATTGACATTCTAGCCAGCATGTGCCTACAGACCACCATGGAGGAGTTTTGCCTCCAAATATGGGTTTGAAGGCCATTTTGGGGGAGCATCCCAAACACCCCCATGTGTCACTTCCCACTCCCCATAGAGTAGTGGCCACCAAACCATACTACCTTCTAGGTGGCCAAAAGGAAATTGGGGAGACCGTAGAAGAATTGGGTAGGGAGAATATCATCAGACTTGCAAACAGGCCTTATAACTCACCTGTGTGGCCAGTCTGCAAACCAGATGGGACTTGGAGCATGACTGTAGAT